AAAAAAAAAAAAAAAAAAAAAAAAAATTATGAAATATGTACGTAAAATTATGTATACAGGAGTTTTAAAGAACAGTAATTTTCTTTTTAGGCACAGAAGAAAATCTATTCCTGTTTGGCCTTTCTTACAGCAAGCCTTTCTTAAACGAGAAATTTTGTTCTCTAAAATTTCTCTGTTCAAGGCTGGGCGACTATCATTTGTTCCTACTCCCCAGCTGAGGACAACTGAACATTTGGTCAACTGAACATTTCCATTTCTTCAAATTATGGTAAAAGGAAAAGAGCTTGGTCTCCTTTAGAGTTGAGTTAAAATCACTCAGAAAATAACAAAACAAAAAATTCTCATCATCACTTGGGACTGCAGTCTAAAATTAAAGCTACTCTCCAAGTCTCCAGCGGTTCCATTCGTCACCTGTTCAGCTTAACAGTAGAATGGAAGTACAATTCTTTAAAAAATCTTTTCTGAATACATATAAATTTTCACTTTGTAAGAGACCTTATATTACCTTTTCCTACCCTTCAATAATAGTAATAACTAGGAGAAAACATCTAGAGGTAAATAGCCCAACTTTTCTAATGCTATAAAAAAATACTTGGTAAGTTCCTGAAAGCAGGCATAAGCCAACCTTAGCGGCTTTCCTTATTTTTTTGGAAGCCAGTGTCGTTTAACTGCCATTTATTTTTCAATAAATGATGACCTGCCTTTAAACCAGGCCCACGTGAATGCCTGATGGTTGCCAAAAATCCTCTTGATTATTGTGGGCCAAAGGTACAGGTAAAGCTAGTGTGAAATGAAAAACAACCCACATTTTGTGCTAATTCAGTGCTAGGAAGGCTGAAAGGACAGGTTGTGTCTAGGCTGTGAAGGGCCTTTATGCCAAGCTTAGGAGGCGCATTCATCTAGCAAGGAGGTACTTAGAGAAGCGGTTTGGCACAGGGACGTGACATGATGACAGAAACTTAGAAAATAAACGTGGCCAGTTTCAGAACCAGAAGCTCAAGTCTTTACCTGGTCGTGATCAATATCTGCATCTCCCGTGATCACGATGCGCTTTTCAATTCTTGTTTCAGATATTCCACCTTTTACAGTCTAAAGGTCATAAAGAAACAGAAGGAAGGGAGGATTAGCAATCACTAAAACATGTTTACACATAATCAGAGAAAACAGAGATGGCGCACACCTAGACCTTCCGATCATCCTTAAGCAATTCACACTGGGTGGGGAAGACAGATGTTCTAGAAATTTCTTTATTTTTAAGCTCCATAGAGAATCCGATCATTCGAAGTGTAGCATCATCTGTAAGCAGTCCTAAACTGAAAGCAACCTTAAAAACTATCTTATCAACATTCAGGTGAGATTAAGATGCAACAGACGCTTGGTTTCCACACAGGTAATTCATTTTCTAGTGGTGAACAGACACACGTATAGTCATCTACTAGGAAGCTCTATTACTAAGTCAAAATTCAGAGTCAGGGCAACCTTTTAACCTATAATAACTCTCAAGGAATTTTAAAAAATACATTATGAGGGCTTCCCTGGTGGCGCAGGGAACAATTCCACTGGAACATTCCGTTACAGTTTCCTGAGTTTCTTCACTTCCAATTGGCCAATTTTTGAAAAGAAGCGAGCAAAGGAGAAATAGTTGTTTTATGTAGAGTTTATAAGGAATGCTAATAATTTAGGCATCTAGTTTAGGTTTGCGAAATTGACTGGCATCATACAGATCCATTTGGTGACTTTCTTCATTTGGTTTAGTGCAATAATAATAAAAAAAAAAGACGACGACTTGGACTTGGTTTAAGATAGGTAAGATGTGTGAGGGCGATATAAAGATTTTCATCCAATGTTTGATTTGATTCTGCACGTGGCTGTGACATGGACATGGAATGTGGCTGAACAAAGGCTGTGAGGAGACCCGGGGGTAGGAGCTCCTGGGTGAACTGCCCACAGAGTTACAGAGTTACTGGCTTGGAGCGAGGTGACAGAAGCCTGGGGCATGATACAGGCTGAGAGATCATATGCCTGTGACACTCTAAACAATGAGCAAATACCACCCAGTCCTGAGAAAGTGCACACTCAACCTCTGCAACACTAATAAATGTACACACGGTCACAGGTATCGCACTTCACCGTAAGAAACAAGGCTGATCGCTAAGATCATTAGGTCTTAATAACTGGATATGCTTTAAAATGAACACCAATACCATCTTGCACTTATGGGACATTTTTTAATTCACAGTTTTTTTTGTTGTTGAAATGTGGCGTGAGGAGGGCACAAGGGATACATTTGAGACCTTCAAGCACTAACCAAATGTGAGAAGCAGAAGCAAAAAGGAACGACTGTAAAATAATGCTGGGTTAGAAAGGTGATGACCACGTCACGCACTGGAGTCATGTGGAGGGCTTCCTAAACACTCCTGGGGTTTCAGAAGATCCAGAGTGGGGTCACAGTATTCACACTGCTAACGAGTCCCTGGGTGAGACTGCCGCTGACAGTGCAGAGACCACACTTTGAGGATCACTGGTCATGAACTGTTAAACATTTAGAGAGTGATCTGGAGAAATGCTCCAAATCAACACACTAGTATCTTAAATCAATGGGGGAAATGTACACGATTTGAACAACTCAGTGAAAATTTTCAATGGCAGTCTTCACTTCCTTGCTTCAGTCAGGAGAGCTGACTTGTACTTACCAAAGCTAGGCTTCCAATTTTATTAGGTTCCCTCTGCTCCTACAGCTGTCTTAAGTATAGCTATTTAGAACATATTTTTACCCCCTTGTACTTTACAAATTTGCAATTTGGATTTGGTTTAAATACAAATGTCAGTGGAGCCCAGTTTCTTGCACACTTTAAATCTAGGCATTTTTATTCCACTGGCACTGCGCGTAATAACTGGAAGTGTGAAGAGGAACAAAGAAACCATTCAGAAAAGATTTTGTTGGCAGTGTACATTCCCCCGGATTGCTTTACCTTGGTGATGTGCGTGGTTGTCGTCGTCGACACGGACTCAGATGTGACGGTCTGTGCAGTCAGTAACGTGCCCGAGTCACCACCAGCCCCGCCATCAATCTTTGAAGAGTTGGGGGAAAAATACAAAGTAAGGCTTAACTTCCGTTACACTGTCAGAGAAGACCCCTCCCCATCGAATGTGCAGCTTTTAAGACCTAAGGAGTCGGCAGAAGATGCTAGCTGCCTATCCTCTGCATATCTGTAGTGGTGATTTACTGATCAGAGATTGGCTGGCATTTATAAACGGAGTAAAGTCAAGGGCTAAATGCACATGGAGAAGCCAACACTGGGCGGAGAGAGAAAAAACAAAGAATGGACATAGAAGGTGGGACTGAGATCTACAGGGGAGTCGTGAGAAAATCTGACTGAGAGCCATTTACAGAAGCTAGAAGAAGAAAGCAGAGAACCAAGCAGAGAAGTTTCCACAGTGACCAGAAGTGCTGAGTTTGTTGTTTTTTTAAGCACAGGTGGGTAAAAATAAACGTTTTCTCAGCTTACTAAGCAACAGAACCTGACTAGGATAGACTAAGCTTAAGCGATTTGGTTAATTGCTTATCTCTAGATTTTTTTTTAATGACATGGTTCCTGTAATAGTTTGTGCGTATACACGGCTACATGTATTTCAATACGTATGCGCACACACTCTATATGTGTATATATATATATATATATAGCTTACATATAAATCTTATACTATGTCTATATAGGGTTTAACTTCTTTGCTTTGATACTAGAAAGTTCTAGAGTTTACCAAGGGAAATTATGACGCACATCAATAGGCTACGAGTTTATGCTAAGATCATCAAACACATTTATCTCCAGTTTCCTGACACTGACAGGAAATAACTGGAAAGTGCAGAGTCTTTCTTACTGTAAGTTAGGAGGAGACCTCTCGAACTTGGGTCACGCACCTCTACTTCTTTACAAGGGCACTTACCACAACAGAAACACGTGAGTACACGCTCTCCTACCACGCCCGTTCATAAGAAACCTATTTGTGCTTATGTGGGATCTACGCACATTTACAGAGAGCATATCTAAAATTATTTTAAGGACTCTTTCACACATAAACGCATTACACCTTTAAAAAATATTTCGAGAGGACAGTAATCTGCCATCCTCCACCACGGTACAATCCTACTAGAACACTAAATTTCTCAGTTGAGAGAAGAGCTGTCCCGGTTTCTAAACGGTTCCATTTTGAAATGATGAGTACTTTCCCCTTTTTTGTTACCCTTAAGGTTAAATATCTTATTTCAAATCTTTACAGAATCAATGTGTGAATACCTAAAATCAAACACACGAATCCGATAATTATTTAGACACACAGTATCACAGTATTTACATAAGAATGGCGACATATGTTTTCAGAAAATAATCCCACATGAGGAGAAGCACAGGTGTGTGTGCATTATGTGTGTACCTGTAAACAAGAGTGAGTTGAATGGCTCTGTCTTCGTGGAGTTGGAGGAGGGCATAAAAGCCTAAATTAAATTCTACGAATCCATAAATTAAATCAGATCCAACAAGCTTTGTAAGATGATCTGTTTCCCAAGTGTACATAAACACCCCTGGATACATCAAGCCAGAAATGGCTTATAAGAATAATAAGAACAACATTGGTACTGCCTGTCCTAAAAAAATCACATGTATGCTTCCCCCCATAATCACTGGGTCACCGTTGCTGAAGCACAGTTATAAAATGGAGATATAAAAAGCTACATCAAAGTCAGAAACATAAACTAGGAGAAGACAGAATGAAAAGAGAAAGACTAAGTAAAAAGAACTCAAACAGTCGAAGTCTAGAGACTTTGTACCTGTGGAGACTCATATGTGATGGTTTTGGTCTCAGTTTGGACAATAGGGACTTCCTTGGTGGAGATTTCTGTCCTTTGTGAGGCATCAGAAATTGTTACCATCTCTGTTTTTACCACTGGTGGCTGAAGTGAAAAGGAAGGGAAACATAAATTCTAGAGGTAATAAAGTAAAAGTGCTTAATGGAGGCTTCAAAAATAACTGTAAGAAATATATCCAAACACACACTCATGAACAAAAGAAAAGAGTAAAAGGAAATCATCTAAAACAAAAGAAAAACACTTTCCTTCAAATATCATATATATGTGTATAGATATATATGAAGAATAAGCTGGCATAATGACTCCCTAAATCGTGGCGGGCTTCAAATTATGATGGTCCCAAATTACTTACGTGTCAACCCTGGCGTACAGTGATATGGAAACTTTAGCTTTAAGCAAGTAATGATAAAATTGAAAAGAAAACAAAACAGAATGAACGATGAGAAGTGACCTGCCTCCATTTTTATTACAGTTTAAAGAAGCATATAGTTTGTGTGAAGGCTGTAAGGTTTGCGTGTGTGCCTTTAATTGGCACACTTGGTCAGTAGGCTAAGATTTGCTCTTTTCCCAAAAAGCCTTTTCTGCCCTACTGACAAGGAGACCCCATTTTCAGAAAGAATATCTTCAAGCAGGGTTGTTTTCAGTTATACCTGTCTAAGTCTTGCAGTGTTTCTTCTGTATTACATAAGTTAAAACGTTATACCTGTAGAGTCACTCCACCATTGTTGCATTAATGCTCTGAACCATTTAAAACATTCAAGGAGATAGATGCCTGTTAACATTGCAGTCTGCTGAGCATGTATCTTTAATACACCATCAGACTATACTACTACCAAAACACTACAGTGCTTTCCTTGAGAGAAAATTCCCAAGTGTAATTATTTAAAGAGGAATAACCTGTATATTAAATGCAGAAAATAATAGTTCAAAGCATTCAAAGACTTTCAAAATGTCTTCTCTGAAGTGAAATCGCAAGTTTAAAAGTAACAAAAATCCAGTTAATTATTTCAAGACAAAGTCACTTCAAGATTTTCTACCCCATGAAGAGAGCAAATATGGATAATCCCTCTACTGTCGGTATTTAATTTTAATCAAGGAACACTCACATCGAAGTAAATCCTCCCTAAGCATAACTTTAACTCCCAAATCAGAGACACTGCACCTAGTGACCAAGACTTAGTCTAAGAGAAGTATGGAAAGTTCTCTTTCTTGAAGAGAAAAAGGAAAGGACCCATACCCAATGGAGACAACTCACAAAACACATCATAAAACTTGCAAATAATCCAGAATTGATGAGAGGACAGAACGAGAAGAGAAGGGTATCCTCCTGTTAGCTTCTCGCTGCCCAGGAGGAAAGCTACGTCTCCTGACCAGACCCTACAATGCCTGGAATCTAAAACCTGAAATGCCAGGGGTACTCAAGAAATAATGTTTTCATCAGGGCTAGATGCTGAATTCAGAGCCTCATGGTAATCGGAGCCTGCTGCCATTCTGAAAATCTTAAACTGGAGAGAGAGCCAGAAAGTCAAACCCAGTCGTGACACCAGCAACACACACACACACACACACACACACACACACACACACACACTGCCCGTTTTTCAACAATACATACACAATTTTCTAATGAACAAAAAGGCATTGAGTATGAGGAGACAGTGCAACTGAAGATAAACCATCAAAAACATGCAAAGAAAAATGAGAAGGGAAAAAATGACATGGCTGCTGTTGGAAAGTTTATCGCGTGATTCAGTTGCGGTAAAGACGCCAGAAACCGTGACCCGAGAGGGCAGAAAATCGACAAAGCAGGGCCTTCCCCCTTCCTCCCTTGAGAGATCAAAATCAGAAATCTGTCGGAAAAGCTGAAGGAGACCTGGGAGGACAGAAGAAGAGAGGCAGGTGTGCTCCACCTGAGAAACAGCTCTAGCGTTGAGCTCCCGCTTGGGTCTCCCATTTACCTCTGAACAACAGATAATCTGTGGCAAAACATCAAGGTCAACGGGAGCCACGTCTCCGTTAACTTTCTGTTGCTCGTCCTCCGTTTCTTCGCTCACGTCTTGCTTAACAGCGCCTTCGTTTACACTCTTCTCGGCAGGGATCTGGGGGCCCGCTCCCTTTTCCTGGGTCACTGTTTCTACTGTGCCGACACTGGCACCTGCTCGCGTGACCGCGCTGGCTGCTGGCACCGGGTCCTGCCTCTCTACTACCTTGGCTGCTGGGCCGGGTGCCTCGTCCACCTCTTCTTCATACTCTCCCTGCTCCTCCCTGATGGCGCCCTCAGGCGCTCGGCGGTGGGGCCGGTACTCCCCCACGTCCTCCGCCTCCGCCTCGCTCCCGCTGCTGCTCTCAGAAGACAGGGGGGTGGGATCTTTCTGCGTCCCCGGCTCCACCTTCCGCATCTCCCCAGGACCATGCCCAGGGGACGGCTCTTTACCGTTCATCTCTGCCGAGGTTACTCTCTCGTCTTTCCCAACCTCTGCCTGCTGCTTCTCCACTATATTCAGAGTCTCAAGTGAACTCTGCACAGAAACAAAAATGGATGAGGGGGAAACAAAAATAGATGAATAAATCAAAACGACGGCAAGCAAAATTAACCGATGGCAGGTTCATGTCATGGAGGAAAGCAAAGATGATGATGATGATGATGGTGGACTGAAAGGGAAGCGGGTGAAAACGTGAGCGGGATTGGACACGTCGGGCAATGGTGTTAACATGGAGAAGGGGAGAACCTTAACAGCATCACTGGCTCCGGCGCAAGGCCCTTCCGACTCAGGAGCGCATTTCTGCGGAACAAAAAGCAACCGAGGACACGGAATCAATAAAGGTTTACCTCGACACCCACCAAAACAAACATCCGACACCGCAGAGACAGAACAGCAAGAATCAACAGCTACAAAAACCTTTGCCCGAGGTCACATGAATGACAATCCAGACAAATGCAAGAAGCTTAGGGAAGGAAACAAAAACACAAAAACTGCTAGCATCGTCCCAAAGAGACGAAATGGTTTTATTATATCTATAAGCTCCTTCTTGTTGAAAAGGTAGGGGGGGAAAATGGAATTATACCAGAGCTTACTCATTATTTTAAAGTTTAAACGTTAAGACTTTTAAAATCTATTCAACAATTTGATTTTAATCAGACCAAAAAAAAAAAAAAAAAATCCTGGCCTGAACCCCTAATTCCTAAATGAATATAGTATTAATAAGATAATGCCTTTGTTTTTTGCTGGCTTGTTTAAAAATCAGCTTTAATTGGGAAAATTATAATTGTCTCAGACAGTTATTAACATAAAAATGTTGTCATTTCAGAAATGATTATTAACATCCCAAACTGTGCGACAGATTAGCAAAAGGGATATTATAACATTAGGGTGGATGTCAGTTATGGCTCCAAGTGTGTTCTCTTAGAATTTAGCTCCTCCATTTGAAAACTGAAATGGACCCAGTTTATCATTTGAGATGCACATTGCTAGCCTCTGCAGGCATCTACTTTGGGGGGACTAGATTTACTCCAGTTAAGTACAGGACCTAAATGTTCAATAAATGCCTGAAGACGAAATACATTAGTAAATAACTTCCTATGATATAGTATTGATAATCAGGGTAGAAACTTTCTTACAAAGGAGTCTGTTTTTAAAGATTAAAATTTTCCTTATTTTTTTTAAAAGGCTACTTTACATAAAGCCTAGCCAACTTGTTGACATTCGGGTAGCCCTAATGCCTTGTGCTCTAACTTTAAAAATTCAGCTAGAGATAGTAGCCCTACTTATTCAAGAAAGTATCTCGATGCTGAGTGAAGAGCACTGCACCCCTGAACCCTCTGGGCAGAAACAGACCTTGCAGTGAAGCTGCCAAGACACTAACTGGACTGGAGCTGTTTCCTGTAACAGATAACACGACCTCATGTTTATGTGCTCCAGCAACATGGACAACCACGAGCAAAAGGTCCTGAAAGGGCACCTTTCAACATATACTCACACACTGTCTTTGATCTGCCCTGTTATTCTTTTTTTTTTTTTGTGGTATGCGGGCCTCTCACTGCTGTGGTCTCTCCTGTCGCGGAGCACAGGCTCCGGACGCACAGGCTCAGCGGCCATGGCTCACGGGCCCAGCCGCTCCGCGGCATGTGGGATCTTCCGGGACCGGGGCACGAACCCGTGTCCCCTGAATCGGCAGGCGGACTCTCAACCATTGTGCCACCAGGGAAGCCCCATGATCTGCCCTGTTATTCTTAAAGGCATGGTAAGGGCATGTTTTCATCGCTCAAAATTAATACCATGTAAATCACGTTACTGACAGACCAAGAGAGCCATCCTTCCAAGTTTACTGAAAGCCCAGAGGTTTCAGATGTTAAACTGAAAATCTCTAAATCTATTTTGGTAAATGGGTAACATTTAACTGTACCTACTTATAAACTTCTTTATAAATAAAGATATCCAGTGATCAGAACATTTCTAAAGGAGACATTTCATTATCATTATTTTTATTACTTAACCTCAAATGGCCAGATGGGTTCTGCCCAAGTTCAGGGAATCCCTTAGGGGTCATTCCAAAAAATGAAAATAATTATTTCATTGAGTATGGCAAGCACTTCAAATTTTTCCATATAAGCAGGATTTTTAAAATAATAAACCATCAGAAGATGTTTAAAAGACATTTAGGCTTTGAAAACTTTTCTGCAAAAAATACTTAGCTTCTACTTGGTTGAAGGTTTCCCTCCACATAACAACTCAGACTCTGGGCCTTAGTGGTTTAAATGATTCTCTGAATTTAGGCAGATTGGGGTGGAGGGAAAGGAAGCAAAAGAAACATCCAATCAGTATCTTTTCCTCGAGTCCAAATTCTGTCATTATTTCTTGAATGTTTCTCCCAGGAAGAGTTAATTGCACCAGTGAAAGAACTGGAGGAAGAGGTTCCTTAATACTCAAAAAATAAAAATCACTCTTATACGTGGCTTTTAAAAACAGGGGAAACAAAGTAAAATGCACCTCAGGCAACTGTGAGAAGGGCGAGGAAGAAAGCTTTTCAGAAGGTGCACTAGAGTTCACAACAGTGCCCTCTGCTGTCCAAGTGGTGGCTGAGGTGAAGGAGGCTTTCATGCTATCAGAAAAGCCCTTTTCACTAAACAAAATTGATGTTATCTCCTCTTCTAGGCTCTAGAGAGGTCAGAAAAGGAAGAGCAAAGAGTTAACAATAAGTCAGAACAGACAGCAGTGACCTATTGAAAGGAAAGGTTACGCAAGAGAGAATCACAGAGTAGCATAAATTGAAAGAAAGGCAAGGATTCTAAAAGATTCTGCAGCAGGCGTCTGTGGCCACTGGCCTGAATGACAGCTTTCCACCCTGCTTGAGAATCGTTGATAGCTCTAACCTACAGAAACAAGCTAAAACTCTTTAGTGTCTCACTGAAATTTTATCACAAGCTGAGCATGACCAACCCACTCATCCGTCAAACGCTGCTCTGTATATTCTCGAGGGAGCTTCTCGGCGCGGGGCCTTCTGCATAGAACAGCCTCTTCGGTGGCCCCTGCACTTGCCACACTTATTTCTGTGCTAGAGCTTGGGTGACCCTAACCCCTTGCCTCCAATGCCCTTCCCCAGGCACTCTGGGCCTTGCCAATCTTTGTCATCTCTCTGAGGTCCACTTAATATTCCACGTTTTGTGTATGGCCCTCACTAACCATTTCAGCTCCTACGACTTCTCCCCTGCCCCATACCACTCTGTCTGTACGGAGAGCGCTTTGACAGTAACCCACTGAAATTCCCTCAGACATGCTAAATATGCCACGGAATGAAGAAACAGTATCTTTTTTTTTTTTTTTTCAACAAGAAACAGGTAAAGAAAAAAAAACTCTAAACAGGAAGACAAACTCAGAGGGGGAAACTCTGAGCAATGTGAAAATCATCTATCCCTGAAAGGCTATTAAGGCGAATTTAATCTTCATATTTCTGGCCCTTAAATGACAGTCCTTAATCTGTCTGAGGGCACAACAGGTAAGCTGGGGACTATCCCAGGTACCTAGAATGCCAATGGTTAAGAGTCACTATGAAGCTCCCCCTCACGTCAGATGTATGCCAGAATACTTCCTAATAAAACCCACTGCTCAGAGATCTTAAAGATAGATAAACAAATGAATAAATGAATGGCATTCTGGGATGCCCCTTGGGACAGTGCACTAACTGGGGTGAAGGGAAGGTACGATGAGATGAGGAAGGCGAGGTGCATAAGCACAGTACTCAGGAGAGAAAACAAGTTTCTGGACAATTTCAGCTTAATTACAATCTCCATAATTACATCATCCCTAGGGTTGGGTGGGTGGAGATGGTGTCCTAGCCGGTAAGAGATCACTGGAGAGTTTAAATAAGTGCCATGCATCTAATTATTCAATAAAATATCTCCAAAATTACCTTAAAAGTCCAATAATCTCTACTAGACCCAGGAGTTCCTATATAAAATATAAACTCATATTTTAAACAAGTTCAAGTGTGTCATAATTCTCACAATACTGTAAGAGGATATACAATAGATATTAGCCTATTAAAGACTAAATGATTTGGTTTCCAATTTTCTGCTCTACTCTCAAAATTATTCATAATGTACTGAAACCATTTTTAAAGTTTGATGTATTGATTTCTAAACAAGAAACTATTACTGTTCTTTTTTTTTAATCCATAGAACACATATTATAGATATTTGGAAAACTTGGTCAAATTATACTCATGCATAATTTTTTATTTTACATTTTATTAAGGACTCCAATTTAAAGAAAATCAGGACACCCTGAAAAATCAAGTAGCAAAATGAAGATGCAACAAAGACAGAAATTTAAAAGATATTCTGTTAAAAGTCAAAACACTCCAGTAGATTTAACTTTCAACTAATAGCAATGATGTGTTACTTGGCGTGGGGCGGATACAGTGTAAGTGGTCAAAAAATGTTTGTTGGGTGAATGGATGATTGCAGTTACAACAGTCCATATGTGTGTTAAGTACGTACGTATTTTCCTGCATGTGCTGGAGAGGAAAAGAATAAGAAAAAAGCAGTAACTTCAAGCGTAGATAAACGGTTTAGGAGCTTAACAGTGGATAAATTCCAGATTTAAATTTCACATAACATCATTTTAATGTTAACTTCTACAATAACGAATGGATGGCTTTCACTGTACATGGTTTATATTGTACACTCCCCTAAACGATGACATCCAGAAAAAATGATCATTTTAAACATCGTCACCGAAATCCCAAAGTTTCCTACTGCAAGGACATCATTTTAAATTGATCAAATGATGTCATCTGACTCGCTTCAAAGGAGGATAGATTTTCAAAACTATGTAATATTTCAAAGCATATGATATTAAAGTCATCATTTTACACGCAGAGTCTGATTGGCTTTCGATTTCAAGCTAACCTTTAAAGTATATAAAGATGTCACTTGGTTTAGCTTTATGACGTTACGTTTCTCATTTGCGGTGTTCCAGAAATATTTCACCTCAACCAGATCTCAGATTCTCTTAGCGCAAGGCTTCATCTTCTACTTAATTTGCCTCCCCCACCATCCCACTGTATGTTCTGATGAGTAATACTCTCTACCAACTAACAAAATCAGACCTGGTGGAAGGGAAACACTTTCTCCTTATTCCGATCTGTGCTCCCGTTCCCATCCCCTATAATCCATTCCTCAACCAGCACCAGAGGGGTCTTTGTCATACATGTGGGATTATAGCACTACTCAGCTTAAAGCTCTCCAATAGTTTCCCATCACTCCTATAATGTAACTCCAAATTGTTAATATGTTCTTGAAGATCCTGCCAAGATCTGGAGTCTGACCTCTGACTTTTCTCAGACCTTGTCATTTGGTCTTTCAGTCCTTTAAATTAATTCCTGTCTTGGGGCTGCATCTGCTCTTCCTTGCACATGGAAAAAACTTCACACGTCCACCTCCTTCTCATCACTAAGGCCTCAACTCAAATGCTATCTCTTCCCAAGCCTTCCCAATCACCTTCTAACTCGACAAGTATTTCATCTCCTTAACACTTCTTAGCGCTCCAAATTTTCTAGTTACTAATTTGCATGTCTGCTATCTCCTCCACTAGACTCTAAGCATTCTAGTTCCAACAAACAATAAGCTGACTAGCTAGCTAAGCAAAATCACTAGAAATAGAATAACAATGTAAAAGCAACGGAAAGCTAACTTCCCTAGTAATGCCAGATATTTCATATACGCAGGAGCACAGAGAGATCCGAGGGGCTGCTCGCATACACCAAAATCTTTTAGCCCGTTGAAAATTTAAAAAATAAAAATTCAAAAGGTTTCCAAATGCAATTAGTAGAACGGTAACCTAAATCACACGTAATTCGTTACTCTAACACCACCACAGTGTGCGTTGTACAAACAGTGCATTTTCGTGTGAAATCATGGTTTCCCAACTGCCAGCCACATCCATCAAAATAAGGGGTAATTTATCACCTGTATCGGTTGAGATGTCTGCATTTCAAATTGTGGATTTTCAAATAAAGTACTTTTGCAATATGGTGCTTCTCATCTAATGATCCTATGTTTCTATTTTACTTTTTAAGCACTCAAAAGTTTATTTTAAAAAATTTAGGTTGATACACAAGGAAAAAGGAGTATCTTATGGCTGTAGACAGAAATAAAGGAAAAGGGGAAAAAGCAAGAGTAGATCCAAGGATGCAAGGTGAACACCTTGTCTGCCTCCTGGGCTTTCTCTTCAACTGTCCACGCGGCCGCCATCTGATGCTTCTCCGTCATGGATAAAATATCCTTGAAAAGATGGTCTCCTTTGCTCTATTGTTTTAAACAGTAGACATGATCAACAAATAAGACAAGTACATTACATCTACAGCAACACAGACATAAAACGACTGTGTGGGTCAGCGGAACAAACCAGATGAAGCGGCACATAAAGAGAGGACACAATCCCAGCACGTCATCAGACACTGTTTCCCCAGAAAACACAACGCTCTAGAGTTGATTCTGAAATATGGACATTACTATCTTCAGAAAAGCTGAAAATAAGAATTAAAGTTATATACAACTTCAGAAGACCCTGCTATGGTGTTTTAAATCTTAATACTGTCAAAAGCTTTTTCAGTTTTTAGCAATTACTTTTGCTCATCTGCTTTAAAGAGCTGTTTTCCTTTCACTGTCACAAACTTAGAAATTTAAAGTAACCAACAGCTTTGCTTTTTAAGAGAAGGTGAATAAAAATAGCCTAAGAATATATAAATCAAACGCCGACAATTTGGTAACATTCAAGTCAGACTAGACGATGAATTTAAGGAGAAGAGAGGGGTGAAAGAAAAAAGGAAAGAGGAAATTGTAGGGTAACACCTGAACACACTTTTTAAAACTGCATATTAAATATAGTATGATCACTATCTCCCTCAAGTAAAATAAACGAGCCCATGATGTTCTTGGTTGACAACAGGAGAGATTTTGGAGCATCAAAAAGAACAGATATAGATGAGAATGAAGAAATATTTTGAGAACATATTCTAAAGGCAATGCTTATAGTGGTTGCGGAGAGAAATAAACCATGGAAAGAAAAAGAATGAGTTTGGAGAGATGTTATGGGTGAAAATGTTCTTAAAGTACTAATCTACATTTCATTACTAAGAAGTTTCAGTATTAAGTTGTATAATTAACATTTTACAAGTTTTCAACAGGGCTCATCAGTCTTTAAAGCTAAATTTAGCTCTTTATCTTCACAGTAATTACCTTAAACCATTCTAAATATAGTCTACATTCCTACATCCCTTTAATCACTAATTCTTTAATTATTAAACAAACTCTCTTATTTCAGAAGTCAATAATTAACTTACTAAATACAATATATGTCAGTTTCTAGGTCGCCCTATGTAACAATTCATCACTACCAATTTACTTGAGTAAAATAGTGAAACTATTCTAAAGGTATTTCGAAACCCATACAATTTACCCAAGAACTACGTCAATAAGTATTACACATTATTAATAAATATTTAGTATTTTAAAAATTATTAGCAGTTACATTTTTTTTTTAAAGGGAACATTTTGTAACGTCTTGAGAATCAACATAATAGATTAGCAACCTAAGTTTTACTGAACAGCTGGATTGAGACATATAGCCAACAAATAGCTAGTGACATACCCCTTGTGTCTGTAGGGACAGAGGTGTGATACGTCGTTTTTCCCATTCATTAGGGCGTGGTTCAGGTGTGGATTCCATAAAATTGCGCTTGAGTTCACTAATGCTAGCCTGGTGTTTCAGTATTTCCTCCTGGGCCTTATCCAGGTCCTAGCAATATGTAACGTAATAAAGGGGGAAAAAATCCAGAAGGAAAAAAAACAAAAAAAAACCCAATAGGATAAAAATAAAAAATGAAACCAAAAAATAAGACAAAGTAAACTTATGATTAAAAAAACATAGTAAAGCAAGAAAAATGCCAAGTCTCAAAAGCCATATCATCACCTAGGAATATGAGTTTGTCCAAATTTGAAAATAAAACCAATGTGCAATTTTTTTATGATTCCTGTCTTAAAGGGTTCTGACTTCTTCTCTGTTTAGAATTGCTTAAGAAATCAGTAGAAGGAGGCTATGGAACTAATACTGAACATGGCCAATAACCCTTCTTTCTAATAGTTGGATTTGAAATGCAGCCCATGACTTTGTTCCTGCAAATTTACCTTTCTGATTAGAGTTACTACTAGAGTTGCACTCTGTAATATAATGAAGCAAGTGAAAATAGAGAAAGGTGGACTCAGAGCCCATTTGGCCTGACAGGAATCCAGTTCAGGATCATCCCAAAAAGGGGGGGTAGGGGGACCAACGGTTGGCTTTTTTCAGGAAATTCAGCAATGGTTTTTAATCCTTATGGAATAAACGGAAGAGCTTCCAGAGGCTGCTTCTGTTTGGCCTTTCTCTAAAATAAATGAACATCATACTGGTTTCACGTACTTGCCAAGCACAAAAGCCACCCACATACCAAACAGTCCTTATAAAAAGATGCGAGGAGAACTACCAGGTCAATTTTCACTGAAATAGGCCCTGACAAATGTCACTTGTGGGATTTTTTAGATTGGCCCTGAGAAATGATATTTGTGGAAATAAAAGGCAGTATTCAGAAAACAGTTTTAACTGAATTTTAAATGTTTTCTTAGATTTCAAAAATCATGGGGCCACCTGTGGATTATAGCTTTCAATCCCACTACTCCCAGAGAAACAGGTCATGCATCTGATTAAATTAGATATTCCATATGCATGCACAAGCATAGTAGCTCATCTATGAGCTGCTATCGCCATTTGCAAAATCTCATGAAAATCTAAAAATCTTTGCATGGCATGGAAGAATGACTGTGGCTTGAGATCAGGCACATTTCTTGCATTTGTTCAAAGCAATGTTATGTATTACACTTCACGAGCATTTTAGTAAGTTATGCAAAAATACATTTCCAACAGTTATCAAAGCTGCTGAAAGCAACCGAACAGATTAGTCAAATTACTGAGGCTTGCAGTTCTCCACTGAATACACTGCCACGTACTACCCTAAAAGAAGGGGGAAAAAGAAACAAAAAACCGTTCTCGTGTGACACGGGGAATACAATACATTTTACATTCCTAATTGGGTGGCTAGGGTTTTTTTTCCTCCTCTTTTCTTTCTTACTTTCTTTCATTTATTCTTTCTTTTTAATCAAAACAAACCCATTAATTAGCATACTCTCAAATGGAAGATTTTAAGTGGACCACATTCCTAATTGCATGGATTTTGGCACTCTCTCGCACCACCAAAAAAAAAAATGAGGACACAGGGCCAAATGACTTAATGCCAGATCGACAAATATTTGTTCTGGTGAACGTGCATTAAGGATGGGATCATGTTACTTCAGACTCTAAACCCTGGAGATAACCCATTAGGAGAAAATAGGTTTACTTGCAGAACTTCAAGATTAATGAATAACAACTTTATTCATTTGATTACACAGAAATTTTTTTTTCCCAGTTGTCACTTTGAGAACTTATAGTAGATATATTCCTACCTAAGCCACTTTAAAAGAACAAAGTTGGACTGGTAACATGCACTCCCAAGGTGAACTTCCCCCATGCATATCGTGCACTGTGCTTGAAAGTTGCCAGCCAGCCAGCCTGTGCGTGACCCCCCGTTCACAGCAGCCTGGCAGCCATTAGGACAGAGTTGTTTTCTTAAATTATACAAACCTCCAACATTAAATTGCTATGTCTGACATAAATATTATCCCCTTCTACTCTCAAGGAATTTTTCTGTGAAATTAAATCACACACAGGGGGGGGGGGAAAGGCAAATAAACATAAGTGTATCAATCAGCAAGCACCAGAAATGACTCAGAGTTGGATAGTCTAAGACATTAAAAGAGGAATAAAAATCTTAAGAACCTAAAGCCACAAACGAGCAAAACTCACAAATAAACCCTAAAAGTACTCCACCCCCCGCACAATGATAATGGCAGGCAGCGGCTACCAGGTATTTAACTTTGGGGGAAAAATATCCACCTCCTCCAGCTGTGTTTCCTCCTCTTCCGTCTTCGCCTGGAAGTCACCCAGCAAGCAGCCAGAGAGAAGGGGAGTATTAGTGGAAACGCTACCATCAGTGCAAAGAAGCTGTATTGAACTTAAATGGTGAACCAGCATTACCAACCTTTACTGTCTGGCCCTCAGGAGATGCAGACTATTAAGCCACTTTGGTCTTTCTTCACCTACAGTGTTGCACAAATGATGGAAACGGTCTTTTGCAAAGATGGAATGCAGAATGGAAGCTTCACTCTTTCTCAGTCCCTAGATTATGCGCTGCTTTTTAGTATGTTTTGACTCAGGAATGAAAACATGAGAGTGTAAAAATGGCATAATTCAATCTGTTCTAACTTGAAACATCTAAATCAACTAGTGGCGAGGGCAAAGTGTCAAAAGTGTCATGATGTAAATTTTGGCTTTCACTTTCTATCAGGGACAAATGTTCACCCTATTATTTAGTTTTTTAACACAGATTTCTTTCCTTGGGGGGGGAAACTGGTTTATTTTGCTACTTTCATATAAAATGGTGGATAGTTAAAAACATTCTTATATTTTATAGCCACTTTTCTTTCATAAAATTCTTTAAGAATACTTTTTCATAGTTGGACAGTTATCTAATGACCCAAAGAATTAATCTGTACATTTAAAACTAACATAAATACTGATGACTACTGACTCATGGAAGGGAATAGCATAAAAGAAAAATATTGGTTCAGATACCAAAGGAAAAGAGTTTAACCTTTACATGTTAATTTATAGCAGGATTATACATATTCTTTTTCTTCTTTACTGTAATGACAGTGTCAAATCCGAGAGTTCAAAAGTGCTTTTTTTTTTTTTTTAAACTATTCAAGCATTTTTGAGAGGTAAGCAGGGAACTCAGAGTATCTTTTGATCAGCAGGGAAAAATTAGACACAGCCACTCAACAATTTGCTAAGAATCATCTTCCAATTCCTTGGTCAGCACTTAATTCTCGAAAATGTCGACCTGGCATCCTTCAGGTAACCTTCAGGAATCATGCATTCTCCCACTATGCCTAATTATCTTTACATTTTCTTCACATTTAGACTTGCTCTAAATTTTGTGATTTATTTTATGTATTAATAGTAACCACAGGATATGGGACACTAAGTCCCCAGACCACATTTAGCAAAACAAATCAAAAACTGCTACACATGTGAGCACTGCTTAGTACTGCAGAGGTAGCCCTATAATTGGGGCAAAAATCCTCGGATCAAACCAGACACCTAACTTTAAATAAAAGAACACTAAGAGGTCCAGTCCAACCTTAGTGCTACAGAGTCTAAATTTTCGAAATACTATGGTTCATTTTTCATACATATTTGTTAAAGAAAAGATAACAAAATAGTATCTTCCTTACAGAATATGTGACGGTGACTCGTATATAATACATGATTTTGAGTTAAAAAAAAAAAAAAGAAAACAAACTACCTGAACTTCATCTGGGCTCCAAATGCTACAATAATAGGGAGACAAGGAGTTTCTGACATTAGACCTATGCATGTCAGGAGTAAAGGTCACAGATGCATCCTCAAAAATGCAAGAACAAGCTTGGCTTTCTAACAGAGAAATAATAACACTAAGGAATTCTACTGATACATATCGATTAGTTATGTCCAGTGCATCCTAAGTTCTATATCAAAATAAAGTTTCCATCCTAAAGGAACAGCATTAACATTTATCTGCAAAATGGACAGACCCAAAACAGATTATTAAGGGCAACATAGGTTCCCCCTCTCCTTGTTTTTATGGCCTAGTATGGTTCCGGTATTTATAAAATAATCCTACAACTTTGCTCTTAACTTTAGAATGTGTGGACCTAGTCAATTAATATCAGTGGAGGGAAAGTGTTTAATTACACTTATTTCTCATGTACTAAAAGGATGTGTGTGAAAGTGTGCAGATCATACTATTTTGAGGTTAACCAGTGATGGAATTTATGCACACGTTTACACTCTACATTACGAAGGGTATAAGACGAAGTGGAGTGTTGTTGACCGCACAGATTTAAAGCTCATGTAGGAGAGCCAGCAGCTGCTTCCTCTTGCTCCGTTTTGTCATTCAAGTCACAGTCATAAGAAACAGTCAAGGAAGCGGCTTTTGCCTCCAGAGAGTAGAGGGATAGAGCCAGAGGAAGGGAAAAGGTGAGAGAAAAAGGCACTGACTGAGATGCAGAGAGGAGTCCGAAAATGAGGATGAGGGAGGGAAGGAACAAAGGGGAGGTGATGGGAACACAGATGCTGGACATCGGTGGGGAGGAAGGAGACCCAGACCTTGGGGAGGCTGGGGAAGGCAAGTTACCCGTCATCATCGAGCAGTCAGGGGAGGCGAGGTGGAAAGCGTCTGCAGAAACCAAAGAAGCGCCCAAACTCTGAACCCTTGTGCTCAGCCTCTTTTAGAGGCTTCTCGTGGGCGGGAGGACAGTCAGTCTCAGGAGGGGCTTCAAGAGGATCCAAGCCAGAATCACAAGGCCCCCGCTCTGATGTTTCGCCCAGGGAAGGCAGCTCTAAGCTGTCTAGTGTGATCTGATCGGCCTCCCCAAAGGGGTCTTCCTCCGAAACGTCTGAAAGCAAGTCCATTTCAGGGGTTGGCAATATGTGTAGGGCAAGAGATGGAGCACAGCGGATGAGTGGT